ACGTCCTCAGGGACAGAGCGTGGCAGCAATGGGAAGGCCTCCTGGATGCAGTCAACAACAGACCATCAATGGCAGCATTCACACGACGCTTCTCTTTGTTCCCTGTCAGGCTTGTACCACCCCAAGGTACCAAGTCCATACACGAAACCTCTTCGGTCTCTTCAAGGCTGGCCATGGGCCTGTGCTGTTACCTGCACCTGGGAATGCCTGGGAACAGCTCCTACAGCTCCATTATCTCCTGCAGTCAGGAGCTGACCAAAAGGTGGGAATGCAAACGTACCGTGCAGAGACAGCCTGGCACATTTAAGCTGCACCAGCTGGAGAAGTGACTGCTGAATACTGGAAACTGCTTTATCCATGGGGTTGGTCCAGGGCAGCTCTTGTCACAGTGACCAAGAGCTCCGTGCCCTGACAGCAGGGTGTTCTGTACCCACCGCTCCTCCGTGTGCCCTTGCCTGGCAGTCCTGCGGCACCAGATAACACAGCCCGAGGTCAGGGTGTGCTCTGAGTGGCAGCTCTTGTGGCACTCACAGTGCCCTGGCCCAGCCTGAGCGACAGCCCCACCGCCATGAGGAGGCAGCCCCAGAGGTTCCACTCCCGCAGCGTCTTCCCGTTCCCGGCTGGCTGTCTCCCATGTGGCGACGCTCAGCACTGTTCACCCGACTATTGGCCCAGCCCACGACTGTTTTTATTAGAAAACACTAAGGCAAGCCTTTCCAAGCCTCAGAAGAATCATCTTGTAAAGATCTGGGCTCGAGATGCCAAATGATTGCTGCTTTGGCGGAGTCTGCACATTCATTTTTTATTGGTCACAAACGCTTTCCAGATGCTGGCATGCTGGCTGCAGATTGCAACTCTGGGGACTTGGCTCCCGGCCCCAGTCACTTTGTTAAACTCTTGACCTGCTGTGGGTTAAAAGAAGCGGGGAATGGGACTGAGTCACCATGAGGGCATTGCTAAGAGAGAGTGCAGCGCACAGCAGAGACCCATTTCGGCAGCTTTCTGTGCTCAGCTGGCATGGAAAACATTTAAGGTGGTCCACAGCAATCCAGCTCAGCTGCCAAAGCTGGTGAGAACTCCAGCATAGCACCAGTCCAGGGTTTAGGAGCAGGGGCAGAGGGGCTGCCCTGCAGCTGGATTTTCCACACTGCAGCCCATACACTTTCCATCTTTTTTTCCTCTGCACAAGTGGATTTCCCATCCCTGCTCCAATACTAAAGCAGTCCTCTGAGCCAGAGCCATGTGCAACATCAGACTGAAAGCTGAAGCCAGGAAACCTTCCTTGGGTTCAGGTTTCATGACAAGCCTGAAGCTTGTTCATCAAGGGGGGTTGTGAACTTTTTGGGGAAAAAAAAGACTTTCTGGGTTCTCAGTTGTTACATGGTGTCCCAAGTGAGGAGAGAAAAATAAAATAAAAAAGAGATGTGAACAAGCAGAAGGAAACTCAAATTTTGATGGAGCTGTTTGATATTTTTTGGAATGGAAAAATTTCCCTTTGAAAAACATAGCTGATACAAATTATTGGTTTTTCCCCGCCCTCAATAGGGCAATTAAAGAAAAAAATCTAATATTTTGCACTTTTTGATAGGCAGTTGATGACTTTCTTTAATCTCAGTTTTCAAGAAGAAAAAGTTCTCTCAAAATCTCAGTTCAAAGAGAACACTTTTAGCTGAAATGAAATTTTTCATTCTGCTTTGAAATATGCAGCCAAGAGCAGTATTTCAGAGAATGTATTTCCATTCAGAACTTCTGGACAGGAAGGAAAACAGTTCCTGATAAGATCTCTTGACCCGGGCTTTGGTGCAGTTTCCCCCTGCTCTGTGTGGGGACCGTACTGGGGCGGGGGTGCTCAGGGAGCAGAGTCCTCTGTCCAGGACATCACCTCAAGGCTCTCACCCCCCTCTCCTTTCCACTCCTTTATCAAAGTGCTGCCTGAGCACAGCTCTGATGAGCTGCTGGTGTCTGCAGATGAACTGTGCTGCACTGCAGGCCAGGCAGGGCAGGGGGCAGGAGGCTGGTGCAGGAATGGCCAGCAGGGCTGGAGCTCAGCTCCTGCAGCACTTGCACAGGGATGTGGTGGTGGGAATGGCCCTTAGTGCCTGGTCACTCTTCAGCTGGGGGAAAATGCTGGCAGAGGTTTGCCTGCTCCTCTCCACCCAGCAGCTGGGGAGGGCGATTCTCCAAGATGCTGATAGAAGCAGGATGTGAGGGATGTCACAGCTCTGGGTGTTCACTTCTGATGTCCCTTCAGACCTTTGTGGGAGCTCAGTGTCACCCACAGGCCATGCCTTAGAGCAGGCAGGGCCTCTGAGCGTTGAGCAAAAAAAGAGAGAGTGACCCAGTCCTTCTGGTCAAGCCTCAAGAGCCACCCAGGGAAAAGCAGCAGAGGTTTCAGTGGAGGCTGGAATCTGCCTCTTTGTACTTATCCTGCTCAGCAGAGGCCTGCCCACAGCTCTCCTGCTCACGTTTGCAAGCAGTGCACGATCCCCTCCACATTACTTGTGCATGCAGAAAGCTCTGCAGTCCAGAGGGAGCATTGGGGGAAGGTTTTATCCCATGGATCTGGTCCAGTGATGCTAATTAAATCATCACATTAGAGCTGGGGGCTTTCTTGAGTAAGTGTTACCACTTGAGCTGAATCGCACCTCTGCTCGCAGCCAGGTGTGCTGCCTCGACTCCAGAGAGCCCTGCCAAACTCATTTCACTTGTGATGCTAAGGCAGTTCCAGCACAGTCTCCAGAGGTGAATAAAAGAGGGGAGCAATGCAGTGTAAGCCTGAAACCTTTTAGACTCAGCCAAGTGGAAATCCAGCCTGACTCCCCACCCAAAACCAAACGACTGACAAAAAGAGAGAAAGTTTTACATAATAATCTCTCCAATGTTACAGCAGACAGCGTTTCTCTGAGGACATTATGTAATGTCTCGTAAGGGCTTTCAGCTGAATTATCGGGTGACTAGCACAATTACTAAAGAGAAAAACAGAATCACAGGTGAGCAGTGGGTGTGAGAATACACATCTGCCTGTTGTGCATTAGCAGCAGGAGAAGGGATTCAGATTCAAGGAGATGTCAGTGCAGATAGGCTCATACTACAGGCCTCAGATTTAGAGGACCTAGAGCTGTTTAGGTCTGCCATTCTGGTCCAGGCCTGTCTTCTCCAGCACTAGGGAGGACACTCCACAATACTTTGCAGAGGGACAGACTTCCCAGGGTGACTTTTCCTGCCTCCTCTTATCTTCGGGCCTTTACAGCAGGAATCACTGTTCTGGGACTGATTGTTTGTGCCACAAGGACACAAAAGAGAGCCCTTGGCTACTTCTTCTCCCACAGTCCAAGGATGGGAAGGATGAAAATATTCCAGATGAACTCACACTATGTAGATGCTGATGTTTACTTACATTACTCACATTGTCTCCCCGTGCTCACTGAGAGCTGCAGGGGCACAGGGGGAAGAACATGTGCAAACCCAGCCAGCACATCCCATAATGCCACCCCTCGTGCCACCTTACTGAGTTCTGTCTCACAGCAACAAGTATGAAAAAAAAGGCCCAACAGCAAAAAGCATCATTTTTTGCTGGGATTCTGCCCCAGAATCTCTTCTGTTCCTGTGCCAGTGCTGCCTTTAGTCTAAGCAGTTGTTCTCTTTTTTCTCCTGTGTTGGTGTATTTATAGAATTTCTCTCAGCCTTCACTATGCCAGACTAACCTGTTACTGAGGGAAGATTTATCTAATGGGTTTTACATTTGCTTTTGCCATACATTGGGCTATAAATGTCCACCTTCAGTGTCTGAATGAAGCAGCTTTGTTTTCACATCAGCACTGTCCTTTTAGCACATCACTGAAGAGGTACCTTATACCTCCATGAAAGGAAGGAATCCTTTATTGCTACACAGAGTGCTTTGTAACACTATAAATAATCACATGGAGACAAATGTACAAATTACTATCAACATGGTAGCAATTACTGAAGGCAGGGGTAGATATTAGCACTCAGAAGGCAAGAGAAGAATAACGTGAACAGTACTGAGAGTTGCTTGAAAGAGAAAAGACACTGGGCATAATGAAGAATTAACTTCCAGAGCACTGAAGAGACTGAATGCTGCTCTTCAGCAAGCTCCTAGGCAACAAATCAATGAACTTCTCCTGAAGAAGAGCAAAAACCAAAATGTTGCCAAAATTTTTATATTTCAATGTCTTTTCTGTAGACAGTTCTAGCAATATCAGAGTAATTCTGCAAATGGAATCACAGAATTTTACCAGAGGAAACATAAACCTTTAATAATCCCCCACTTGCACCATAATCAAATTGCTGGTCTCATAACCCTTTTGTGGTAAAACCAGCCAGACCAGCAAAGGAAAATGCCTCTTGGGTGAGTACATGCAAGTCTCACATGATGTTGGGATGAGATAGGAGGGCTTTGTCCTGTCTGGTTTTGGGTTCCATACTGCTCCTCAGTGTAGTAATTCAGCTTACATGCATCTTCTCTCCTGTGAGTGCAACCCAGAGGTGCATTTGTGATATGCAATGCACTTAAGCCAGTGTATGCAGCTGGCTTAAATACATCTGTGGCCTGCACTCCCAGCAGAAATTGCCTTAGAATTCATTTTCTGGCCAAATTAATGTTAACATTTTGATGTAGTTTCTACTGGAGACCTTTTTAAGGCTATATTTTGTACGTGGGTATAAATCAAACAATTTCATTGACAGCTGACAGAATTATTTTGGATCTCACTGAGGCAGTTGATATAAAATCTCAGCATTTCATGCCCCTCTCAAGCTGTGAGGTCTTGCTGGTTAACTAACTTCTGTATTTCACCCCAGAAGCAGCTGCATTAGACTAGAGAGGGAATTACTCGCAGAGTTCATCCCTTACACTGTGTTGCCTCCTCCAGAGAGACCAGAACGCAGCCTAATGTCGCTGAAGGTTAAGTGCAGAATTATTAGGTAGAATTTCAGGAGGTATGGTAAATCGCCCAGGAAGCTTTAAAACACTGTCGTACCTGTTTGAACTGCGTTTAGTTGCACACTCCGTAGACTGAAGGGCTTTCCCTCCCCACGGCAGCAGCTCCGGGCCGAGGATGGGTGTCCCGCGGGCGGCTCTGCTGCGCCCCCTGGCACCTGCTCCCCTTACTGCGGATTATTCACGGCATCGCCCATTCCTGCTCATTTGACAACGTCCCGGTTGCAAAGCACGTGGAAGCCGTGGGAAGGGAGGATGGGTGAGAGTCATGAGAGGATTCGTGTGAATCAGCCCGGGAAGAGCAGGTCTCAGCTCACCCTGCTCATACCGGCCCTCACTACTCCTGCGCTGGGTGAGGAGCTGAAGTCAATCAGGGTCCACCACAGGCCAGAGAGCTCGTTTGTTTTGCTTCCATTCTGGAATCTCATCCTTGCTGTGTTCCACTTTGGAGTGGGGAAAATCTAAGGCTCTAGTGTTTGTGCCTGAATTTGCACTCTCAGAGTTACCCCCACCTCCATATGAACACACACAATATATAGTACGAGGTTCGTAGCAGGTCTCCCTGGAATTCTTCCCCTTTGAACTCTGCCAAGTGTCATCATCATTATTATTGCTCAGATACCCAAAGCTGTATCTGACACCATCATGCCATCAGGAAAGGAACTGTGGGCTTGGGGCCCCTTCTGAAGAGGTACAGGTTGATGTTGAGAAAGAAGCCTCCTCCTGAACTAAACCGGGAACAGGCTCCAAGGAAGAAGAGAAGGATCCCCCACGTAGATCCTTGGGGACAGTCTTGGAAAAGAAAACTCCAAAATCTCCTACAGACACACCATTTGGGTTCTCTGGGGTTATGGCAGGACAAGGCTCCCCAGAACACCCCCTAGGATTAGGGAAATAGAAGTATAACTAATTCTAGTCCATCATACCTCCCTGCCTCTGGAAAATAAGGAATAAACACTGACTGTCAGGGAACAGATAGCGGTTTGAGACTGGGACTTCATCTCCAGGAATTTCTTTTTCTCATCTCTTTGCTGACAAGGAAACAAATTTCTCTCTTAAACATTTCTTGCTTTCTTTCTCTATCCCTCCCTTCCCCTGAAGTGTAAAATGAGTCAATGGGATAGCGAATCATGAAAGAAAAAGAAGCTGCACTCACTAGAGGCTGGAGACAGTAGATCTCTACCTTTACTTGCAGGGGTTGGCACGGGTTCCTACCCATAAAGATAAGCCTCCACAGCCGTAGTTCTAGGAGGTTACATCTTCCTCCAAGCATGATAAGCCTCAATCCAGTGGATAGTACAAAGGGAGCAGGGATTTCCCCAATACTGGTATATACTACATAAAGTTCCACCTTCAGGCAATATATAATGGGGGAATTATAAACCCTTGAAATTTAGTTTTCTAGTACAAACATTGGTAGATCCTTGAAACAGTCGTATTGATATGGCAATTACAGCAGACAGTGTTGTTTACTAACTGCAATAATACACCATAATAAACGATAATCTACCTTGATACTATAATACTGCGATATTATAATACTGTTATTACAGCTAAAACAAATATTTTGCTGAACTAATGCAACTAATTTAGCAGATATAAAAATCTTAGCTTAATTGCAAGTTTCACAATTGCAGAAAGTGCCAAAACAAATTGAAGTCCACGGGCAGAACAAAGGGAACCAGCAGGTTATACAACCAGCAGGCTTGAAAGAAAAAAGAGAAAAGATGAGCAAAGGGAATCACTTTACAGAATCTGAAGGAAAAGAATGTTGGGAGGGTTATAAAACAACATGGTTAAAATGGACACAAATGTTTGATTTCCCTTTTCTGTATAGGATTAACAAAATAAACAAACTACACAAGGGCAGTGACAAATTATTTGCTCACAGGTGATACACAGACGTCTGGGGGACACACCAACCAGGTGAACCTCCCAGCTGGAACCGCACTGCTGTGACAGCAAGAAACATTGGAGCTGGACTGGGATCTGCTGTGTCCTGCAGAGGAATATCCTGACTATCCACACCCTCTTCCAATGTCCTTTGGAGCTCCAAGGGACACGGTGAGAAAGCTGACAGGGCCATGACAAAGCTGCTCGCTCCTGGGTCATCACTAAGGGCCCTGGTTACCAATAATTACTAACAGCGCTTCATAACCATCACGAGTTGTGTAGGTTTGAAACAGTTCTGTTGTGGGTGTGTTAAAGCAGGAAGATAAATCCATATTCAGGCAGGAATGAAAACATTTCCATTTGCTAACCCTAAACCACAGTGTGTGTGCACAAACACACTCATACACCCCGCAAACACACTTCATCCTAATGCTTTCCAAACACAGCATTGCTGCACAGTGCATCACGACTCCGGGGTGACTGTTCTGAACACTTTAGGACAAGGATTCTTTTTTCCCATCTCCAGCCTAAGAGTAACAATATTTGGCTTTTGCTCCTGCCTGATTTTGCTCAATGACAGTCAATTCCAATATTTGCAATTAGATGTAGGCCAGGCTTTTCAAAGGGGTGTTGAGTTTTCCTAGTCATCTAATAACCACAGCGAGCAGGCTGGACAGGTCTTCCTGGCCCTCAGAAAGGACTGAATATGCCCTCTCTGGGTTCCACTCCTCACCCTGCCCTCAACAGCCTTTTCATTTGCTTATTTCAGTGCTGGATCCACCCTGTACATGAAAGGCTTAGCAAGCCAGCATGCAAACCAGCAGAGGTTTTTGAAAAGGCCTTACATGCAGGCAGAGCTGCAGTTATCGTGGGTTTGGGTAACCCCCCAAACCCAACATCTCCCACTTCGCAAGGAGAGCAGTGACTCTGCTACCCCACAAGCACAGTTTGCCCTGAAATCACCTTGTAAGCATTCCTGCCTCAGTGACCCTCCCAGTGCTTTCTCAAAGCACTGTATTACAGGTGTGGAAGCATCACTGGACCACGAGCTCTGCATCCTTGCTCTGGAGTGAGAGCAGCAGGGTATGGTCTACCACTGCTGAGCTTCAAGCTGCTGCAGGTAGATTTCTACCATCAAAGTGGTTCCTCTATCTCTGTATTACATTGTAGTCACTCTAATTTAAGAAGAGAGGAAGAAAAAAACCCCATGATTGGAGACTGATATTTTATGAAAGCAGAGATTCTCCCCCTCGGCCTGATACCATCTCCCACATCAGAGAAACCCCAACAGCCGTGGGCTTCCCATCCAGCCCTGGCTCCTAAATGGCAAAGCTGCAAACAAACTCTAAATTAGGCAGTGACTTCAGGTAAAAGCAGAATTACCACACACTTGTCAAGCAGCCAATTCAAAGCAGCAAGACCTGAGGAGGAGGCTGAATGTTTGATGGCTTTGCTGGCTTGATTGGCTGCCACAATGCCCAGGATGACCGATGACACTTTCTTGGGCAGGAGCCATCTCCTGCAGGGCCCACACCCCGAGCAGAGGCTCTGTCAGAGCAGCTGGCTCCTGCAGCGGGTTTGCTGCTTGGATCTTTGCTCCTTCCCGACTTCTAAAACAGGTCCTACTTGTAGTGGGGGGTGGGGGGGCTTGGTGTGTCTCTAGTATTTATAATTACACATTTATTGAGCTTGTGCAATCCAAACTGCAGCTTCAGGCCAAAAGTTCATTGCTAGAGGGGTTCAATAAAGAATTTCCTCCTGAGAATGGAGAATTACATCACTTGCCAAGTGTGTCAGGCGGTTTTCCAGGCTCCTGTTGGGCCACACCCATTTTGACTACTCCAGTGGCTGGATACTGAACATGCCTGGCCACATCCTTAAGGTCCACTGGATTAACCGTGTCTGTAAGTTCTAGACACCAGAAAACTGAGTAAGGTTGTCATACAGCCCTTCCTGTCACGGCCTGCAGGATCCCAGAACAGCTAAAGCATGTCAATGCATAAGGACAAAATTGGATTTGCAAGCAGCAGACAGTTTACTGTTGACTGTTTTGCACATATAACCCTAAAATATCAGACCTTTCTATGCACATTTCATCACACAGGCAAGTCTGTGGTGACAATAATGACATTTTTTCTGATGGAATGCTAAATAACCTCAGGGACACATCACCTACCATGCTGGAGACAGTGCCTACATTATAAAATGATGGTTCCTGCCCCAAAGAGTTCAGTCTCTGTTCAGGATGATGCCCTGTTTCTTTGTATTATTCTGATAGCAGCGTGAAGGCTGAAAACTTGATAATGTATTATCATCTCACACTCAGAGAAACACAAACACCGTTCCTTCCATATGCCATTATGTCTCTCCATACAAAACACACATGCCTGAACACCCTGAAGTTAAGAAAACAGTTCCCCTCTAATGCTCTTAGGTGATATTGCACTGCCATGACAATTACAGAATAATCCTAATGCAAACAAGCTAAACCAGAACTCTTACACAGACAGTTTTAGTTTATTATGGAGTCTGATACCACTGTTGGTAGTAAACCAGGGGAATGAGACTAATTTTGTTGGCATACCGAGGTTCATGTAAGTAAAAATGCTCTTCCTTAGCCTTTCTGTATCAGCTCCCTTGATGACCTCACTGTGATAAGCCATGCAGGGCAATAAACAATTCTGCAGGTGGGGAAACCGGGGCAAAAACTCGCAGGCCTTTCAGGGCATCACACGGTGAGTGGAAATGAAGGCACTGAGACCGAACTGCTGCCAGTGTCTGAACTCCACTTGCTGACCACCTCAGAGGGGAGCACGGGCATATGGGCTGATTATGAGAAGCAAGTTACAGGAAGACATGGATTTTAGTAGAAGAACAGACTGGAGTGAAGGGATTAACGTGATTTAATGGGTCACTTGGGGAGGAGAATTGGCAAACATAAATACAATCCTATTCAAAGATATTTAGCAGATGAACCAGGCCCCGACTGTAGACAGACACCTGCACTGCTGTAGATATCAGATCCCTTTTCCCCCAAAGAAACTACCACTTCAGTGTCCACAATCCTCAATGCTCCTGCACTCTAAAAGGAGCAAGGACCACACAAATGCTATTTGGGGATATACAAACAGCACAGGCCGGTGATTTCTGCCCAAATCTGCATAACCTCCCCTGCTCAAACCCTGATGAAAGAGCATCCTCAGCTCCCACTGCCCAGGGGTAAACTGCACATACTGAGAGCCCTGCAATATGAGGCACAGGAGCATGGGTATGTTAAGGATTACTCCAACTCCAGGACCTTCATTCAATGTAAGGATCTCGTGCAGTTCCAAAGTTCCCG